TTTTTTTTATTGTTATTTAAATTTTATTCTTATTGCATTAAATAATTAATATAGTTAGAATATAAAATATATTTAGATTTGTCACATATTTTAAATAGTAGCACATCACAACAATAGTTTTCTAACAGTGTTAGCATTCGACACACCAACACTATACATTTGTAGAAGTATGTGTAATTCTTAGTCCAAAACCATAAACTTTCAGAACTTAGGAAAAACTAAAAATTTATGAGTCCCGTGAACTTATTTAATTGAGACACAGAATAATTGTATTAATAGTTTTTTTTTTTCTCACAGACTAATAGTTGTTGATAAACGTAAAATGTTAAGCTTTTGGACTCCGTTTATTTGGGTGTAAAATATTTTTTTAAATATATATTTTTTATTTTCTACTATTTGGTTGTCGTAAAATATTTACGAAGAAAAAAAAAATTAAAATCTAACAAATATAATTTAACCAATACTTCTCGTCCAATTGATTCGACCTCAATCTCAATCTAGACTTCTGCCAAATACCGAATAAGTAAAAATAAAAAAATATTTTACTTTAAAAAAAAATTATTTTTTAAAGAAAATATTTTATATCCAAACAAACGGAGTCCTAATAACTAAAATTCTAATTAAATTGAGGATACATGGGTCACTTAATCATAATTAAACATGATTTCTCTTATCTTTTTTCATCAAAATCTAAGTCTGATTGATTGAAAATTGAAAATCATAAAAAACTGTATATAAATATGCTGTTAAATAGATTCTAAAAACTAATTTTTGAACAATCACTTAAATAAATAAAAAAAATAAAAAGAAGACATTTTTTAAATAATTTTTTTTTATAGTTATTTGAAAACAGTTTTTTTTTTTTCTGAGTCTTTAAGAACTGCTTTTTAGTAGTAAATCAAGTAAGTCCTAAATCATTTTTAAAAAAAAAATAATAATTACGAATAATAATCTTTCTATATAATCATAGAAGCCTAAACATTTTTTTTTATTATTTTTTTTTATTTTTCCATACAATGAAGATGGAAATTGGATAAAGACTCCTCAAATATTACAAAGGTCCTTTTTTATTTCTTTTTTCTTTTTTTGGAATTATAAGTTGAGTCACGTCAAGTTTACCAAGTCTAGGGTTGTTCAAGCCTTACTTGTTCTCAGCTAGGGTATCCCAACAAGCTAAGAAACTTGAGCTTCATCTCAGCTCCAATTATGTCCTAGATCAAGTTGTTAGATTTTATTAATTATTAATTTATTATATAGTATCACATTTGAAGAAGAGGGACTTTGTCATTATATATATTGTAATGACCCGGTCATTTTCTTCCTTTTCTTTTTTCCTCAAATTTTGCGGATAAATTTTTTTCTGTTGTTTTTTCTTTTCTGTGGATGGTTTTTCGTCACTTAGTATCGTCTTGAGTGTTCGGAAATAGTTTCTGAGACTCTTTTCCGTGAATTGACAACTTCCTTTAAGAATCGAGTCATTTTCACAATTTTCGTTTTTCGACACTATTCACTTTTTTGTCCTTATTCCTATTTCGTCTTTTTCCCTATTTCATCTTTTTCTAGTTTGTCACTTTGTTGACAAAACCTCACTTCTTGTGCTCGAAGTTGATTTTTGACTTCACGTATCTTTATCGTGAGTGGTTTCCATGAAATACGTATCTTTACTTTTGTAGGAAAATACTCTGGTTGCTCCTGGTGTCCATATGGGTATGATGCATAATTCTTTGAAATTAATTTCTTTTCTTGCGGTATTTTTCGTAAATATCTTTTAAAGATATTTTATTTCAGGGGTATCTAAGAAAATATCTTTTGGAAGATTTTTTCATTCTAAGGCAATTTTGCAGTTAACCCTTTTTGTGGGGGTCATTGTGCAATTAATGAAAGTTGTTGCAAATTATCTTGTTTTGAGTCTGGATTCTCGTACGTGATTCATTTTCACTTTTCATCAAGTCGTAAACTCTTAGAAGTCCCTTCTGGTCGATGTTTTCCAGTTTTAGGGTTTCAGGCCCCGGTTTGCGTCAAACTTGTTTAGGACATAACTTTCTGTTCGGGACTCGGTTTTTGACGTCGTTTCTTCTGTTATTCTTATTTTGAATCTTTTTCGTTCACAGAGTTTCATCATTTAAGCGTGTCTGCTCAAATTTCACTTTTCCGGACCCGGCGGGGCCCGTTCGGGGCACTTTTTGAGATTTCTATAAAAGGGGGATTAGATATTTTATTTTTTTCATCTTCCCCACTCTCTTGCACGACCTGAAGCTTCCATGGCAGCCCAAGGGAGGCTGCCACCTTCTCTCTCCTCATTTGAACTTCATTTCTTTGTCAGAACATAGTAGGGTCTTGCGTTTTGTGTTCGTATTGACTACGCGCTTCTTTCACCCTTATTAGAACCCATTTCTGGCCAAATTTTGAGTTTGGTTTTGAAATCAAGTTGTGATTTTCATGGGTCCTCTTTGGAGTTTATCGTTCATGGCGTTGTCCCCGACGAAACCCCGAAGTATTGTCGGATTCAGAGCTGTTTCATTTTGATGGCTTTTGAGATTTTCATCTCAAATTGAGGTAAGGGGTGTCTTAGGTTTATATTATTATTGTATTGATTGTTTTATAAGCATATACAACTTGTGAGCATGCCTTGTTCAAGTTTTTAGAATTTAATTTAATTATTTTCTTTATTTAAGATTTAATTCTCATGATGCTAGGCAACTTAAAATTAAATTGAGACATACTAGAAATTTAGGCTTTGGTATGGTGGTTGATATATATTAAATTAGGGTTATTTGAATAAGAATTGCAAATTTTATTTAATATTTATCTTTTGTGAAAGTTTAATTCACCTAGTTGTATCAAGTATGGAATCAACTTGTAATGTGATATTAAAGTAAGCCTTGGTGAGTTCTTTAACATATATTAAATTGAGGACATTTAAATATGTTTGAAAATTTAGAGAAAATTTAATTAATGAGCTTAATTAATTTTATTTTAAGTGTGTTGGTCACTTAAATTGATATCAGAGGTAATAGGTTATTAATCCCTTGAAACGTAGTCCATTTAATCACCTTGTGAGCATATTACAAATTTGATGTAGAATTAGTACTTGAGGCATCTTGAAATGGTAATTGGACTTAGCATGATATAAAATATCATTGACTTGCATAGCTTGTTTAGATATATCTTGTGTAAGTGTATACCTTGTTAGAATATTACAATTGTTTACCTTGGAAGCTAGTTACTAAATTGGGACTTATTTAGTACTTGTGGCTTAGTGTGGTAATGTGGTTCAATTATTATAAAATATTATTATTTTGGTGTATAAATTGCATATTGGAGGCTTGACATGTCATATGCTATCTAGACTTGAATTTTAGGACATGGTTTGTGTGGATTCAACCTTATTTGTGCATGGAAGATGGCCTTATACATTAGTGGATTTGGTATAAGTTTGGTCTAACTTATTAATTTTTGTATAAGTTTTGGACTTATTGATTTTGGAAAGCTTGTGAGGACATATTTCACGTGATGGCTAGGGTTTGGCTCTAGTACGGAGATAAGAGTCTTCTAAGTCATAAGTGTGCACTACGTAGTACCTTGTGGGTCGTAATTGCCCAGAATAACTTATGCATGTGTGCACTAGGTAGTGCCTTGTGGGTCGTAATTGCCCGGAATAACTTATGCATGTGTGCACTAGGTAGTGCCTTGTGGGTCATAATTACCCGGAAACACTTGCTTGGTCTAGTGACCACATATCCTAGTCTTTCTAATTTGATTTCGCATTCAATTTCAAGTTGCTAATCATGGATTACTTGTAACTTGAGAATTAATGCTTGCTTTGGATATTTGAATCTTACTTAGTATACTTGAAACTGTATACTTGTTTTGTGCATTTAGATCTCATATAGTATACTTGAACTTGTATGCTTGCTCTGTGAGTTTAGATTTCATTTAGTATGCTTGTGCCGTGTATACTTATTTTAGGTGTATCTCTCTTAGCTTAGTATACTTGTGTCGGTATACTTGATTTACGAGATTTTCATAAAAAAATGCATACTTGTGTAAATATGCTTAGACATTGCATTACTTGTCTTAATGTGATTTAGTATACTTGAAAATATATGCTTGTATGTTGTATAACATATTTAACATTGTTTTGTATACTTGAACATGTATACTTGTATGCCGTTATTCATTTTAAATTACATGAGTAGCTTAGGATGATCCATGAGTCTCACTTGACATAGACGTTAGGTGGCATGAGCCCCATTGACATGTTTCACCTTAAGGTGATATAATTATAAAACGTTAGGTCGATGCATGCTTATCTCCTATGAGTAGCTTTATGTTACTCACCCACGTAGTGAAGGGAAGGGAAGGGACAATTTCATCCCTCCCTTCCCTTCCCTTTCTTTCAACCAAACATGAAAAGATTCATTTCCCCTCAATCATTCCCTCTAACCACACATAGCATAAATGATATGTATTTGTGTTTACTGCTTACTAAAATGTTTAGGCATTACCCAGTATCCTAGTTAGTAAAATGTCTACCTTTTTGAACGGGAGTGCCGGTATTTGGGTCCCCTCCCCCTACTTTGCTAAAAATAAATAAAAAAATCAGATATCTCAACCATTGAATATAGTGGTGGGACTCAATATATAGATAATCCAAAGACTAAGGAAATAAACAAAAAATAATAATCAAATAATCAGATATCTCAACCATTAAATATGTCATTCTTGCTCATATTCTCACTACTTATAACATAATTTTACCGTCCACTTCTCCTCTCAAATTCAATATCGCTCATTTTCATGTGTAACCCTGGTGGGACTCACCATATGGATAATCCAAAGGCAGGATATGAATAGCATTACTCTTCTTTTAGTGGGTTCCATAGTAATGACCACGCGCCAGTCACAATCTTGCAAAACGATTTTTTATGTTTTTTTTTTTTTCATTTTTTTAAGCATACAATAGATGGTTCAAGTCTCTACCTTATAAGTAATAAAAGTTCTTCACTGTCATTCATCCCCCTCCTTCTCTCTCTCTCTCTCTCTACCTGCAAGTAATCTCACACCAACCATTCTTCGTATCTCCAAAAGGGCCCAAATTAACCTCTCTCTTTCTCTATCTGTCTGTATATCTATATCAATCATATATATACATACAAGTAAATATCACATACCATGTTTAATTTGGGAGATGAACTCATAATTGAAAGCTATAGAATACCATGGCTCATATGGATCCAGCTGTTGGTGATGTTACTCCTCATAATTCTGCTCTACATCTTCGCTTTGGATCTCTCCCAAGACTCCTCCCATACGGCGTCGTCTTCTGCTGCTGCTTCCACAGCTCTCCTCTCCTCCTCCATTATACACCGCCCAAACCTCACCACAACCCTCACAACAAGCTTAAATCATACCCAGGTGTGTTGTAATTCTCTCTCTCTCTTGGGTTAATTTGTTTCTCTCTCTTGTTTTCTCCCCTGTTTTTCCTTTCATATTCTGTTTGGTTGCCCAGAAAATTTGTTTTTTCTTTATTTTATTTTTTTCTTAGTTAAAATTTAGGCTCAAGTATAAAAATTAATAGAAAATAGAATAGAAATAATGTAATTTACTTAATTCATGTTAAGAATTTAAGTATTCAACAGGATAGATGAAATTGTATTCAACAGGGACAGAAACCCATTTGATTAAACACATAAAAGAGTAAAGTTAAAGAATGGAATGCGTTGTAAGGTAGGCAATTGTATATCCTTATTATCAAATTGGTATTTATTTATTTATTATTGTTGTTGAAAATTTTAAAGAAAAAGCAATCTAATTTATTTAGAAAAACCTTTTGCTTCTAATTATATATTATGAAGATGCTTATAAATCCTGTAAAAGTGTGAAATTTTGCTTATTTTGCTTTTTGGTTTCATGCCACTTATCATTCCCTTTCACTTAACAATGAAAATTTGTCAAATAATTGATATTATTAACTTTACTCAAAAGGCTCTTACTACGGTAACTTGTTAATTAAATGAATATTAGAATAAACTACACGAATTTTCATAATCTATGAATGTTTTGAAAAAAGTGTGCAAAAAAGTCCATTTATTATGACGCGTTCTAGAGCTTTTAATGACTTTACTAATTTAATATTCCTTTTATTAAATTAAAAATAAATAAATAAATAAACTTGTGAAATTCTAACTATGTCCATAGTCAATAAACGACTAGTACTTTGGTAAGCTTTTTATTTCGTTAATCTATTTTTCTTTGTTCTCGATTTCAAACAAGAAATTACCGAATACTCCTGTGGCACCGACTGTGTAGTTTTTTCGACCATTTTGACCTCTCTCTAAGAAAGGATTAAACCCCTTGTGGCATGTCAAACTTGAAGCAAGTCCATCCATTCACACACGTGTGTGTAAACCCCTTGTGAGTTATGTCAAACTTAAACAACTCCATCCATTTCCATTCACGCACATATGTGTGTGTATATGTGTGTACATAATACATATATGGAGTTGATAAATCGTATCTGGCCAGGCTAGTATTTGTTGTGTTGTTGTAAGCAATGCTTATTTTAATCAAATGATATTTTATTATATTTCGATAAGATAACCTTTTGTTGGGAGAATCAAATCTGCACTACTACTAATGCTTATTAAATTGATTTAATTGAGGGGTGGCAAATTTTTTTTTTTCTTTTTTTTTAAGAAATGTGACACTGCTACCTAAGCTTATTAAATTGATTAATTGAGGGGTGGCATTTAGAAATGTGTCACTGCTACCTAAGCTTATTAAATTGATTAATTGAGGGGTGGTATTTTTTTAATAGAAATATGATTTAAGTATTCCCATTTCAAGTTTCGTTTCTATGTTATCCATGTTCTAACTTTTTCAGTAAAAAAAAAAAAAAAAAATTTGAAATTAGTGGTAAAATAGGTAATGTTTGTTAAATTCTCGACCATTAGAAGAAGTTTATTAATCAAACTCGATTTAGATATGAGTCAACTTAAATAGGTCATGTTTGTTAAATTTATTAATCAAACTCGATTTAGATCCGAGTCAAATTAGAGTTATCAATTTTATATATTTATATATCTCTCTAAGGGTCTTTAATAATTTCTTATAAAACTATAATATATGATATTAATTCAAAAGCTAAACCTTTTTTTTATTTTGTATCAGTCATGCATTCTAATTGAAGTTAAATTTTAAATCAATTTTGAACGTGGTTAATATTTTGCATCATATGTAGTATATTCCTTCTTTGGCGGAGTGGCGGAGCCAGGGGCATGGCCCACCCAATTTTTTTAAAAAATTTATTAGTAATAATAATGTATATTTATTAATGATTATTAATGGTAATTTTGTATGGAATATTAAATTTGGCCCCCCAAATATTTTTCAGAATTCTATTAACAGTAATTATTCGTGGTTATTGATAGCAATTTTGCATGAGAAATTTAAAGTTGACCTCCCACAATTTTATAAAGTTCTCATTTATAGTTGCTTATATATGGAAATTAATGATGGTTTGTGAAATAAATTATTTATGACTCTTTTCAACCTTTTGGTTCAAATTTAGTATTAGAAGTGTTTATTATTTTGTAAGTTTTGCTAAAACGTATTAGTGCACCATATATATATATATATATAAGTATATAAATTATTTGTTATGATTTAAAGAGAGACAAAAGAAGGAAAAAAAAAAAAATTCTAGACAATGACAACTTTATTAATGGACTGTTAACTAATCTTCTTTCTATTTATTTTTCTCATATAGTTCGTTTATAGATTTGTTCTTAAAAATGTACATAAAAATGCACGGGGAAATTTTTGTTGTTGCAATTATTTTATTTATTTATTAAATTTAACTTTATATCACTATTTGGTCCCCCAATTGAGATCTCCTCTTTTTGCATGATTGGATTTTACTTGGTGTTTGTTTCTGATTTGGATAGAGTTTAGTTATGGTTTTGTTTCCTTGTTGTCTTTATGCTTTCGTATTTTTCCCGGAAAGTTTGTACAGATTTTTATAAATTTATACATTTTTTTTTAAGGCATGTATGCCTTTCTTAAACATGTACATTATTTACTTACCAAAGAAGAAGAATGAAAAATAAAAAATAAAATAAGGAAAAAATGCACACATTAGATTAGGATTTGAACTTATTAAATAGAAATATTCCAAATCCGCTGCTAAACCCTGTTGTGATCAAAGTTAAGAGACTTTACCCTTATAATTCTTATGTTAGTCCAATAGATTTTTTATTTTTTTTTTTTATTTATTTATTTTTTTTTTAAATGGTAAACTAAACACACACCCTTTTGCCCACGCCCGGGGTCCAATCCCTCTTCTCCTCTTTGAAGATAGGGGAGGTTATACCGTTAGGCCAAAGACATTTAGTCAAATAGATTTGACCAAATGATAATGCGAAATTTTTGCGTTAACTTCTGCAGATTCAGTATGCACCAATTGTATAGAACCTAAACTCTTAAGATCCATCACCACCCACCCTAAAGGTTGTAACTTAGTGGTATTTCTGCTTGCCTTTCAAAATTAAAGGTTTGATGGTTGAAGTCCCATTTGTTAGGAGCAGAAGTATGTACTATTTTTGTGTTGCTTTTCGGGACTGAAAAAAAAAAAAAAAAAAAAAAAAAAAAAAAAAAAAAAAAAATTGAACTTTTTAATTAGTTTGGAAAGTGAATGAATTGTAAATTCTTATGATCTAGATTTAGCAACTCAGAAGTTTTCAATTTTTTTGGTTTTTTTTTTTTTAGTTGACAATGATTGTGTTTGCCCTCTTAAAGCACATCATGTTCCACCACAGATACATGTAATCTCCGTCCAACATGCACCAGGCAACCTAAAAAAGCCTTTCATATATATATATATATATCTTCTCTTTTTTCACCATAAAACTTTGTGTTGTGGTAGCAGGTAGGAGAAGAAACAAAAAAAGGTGATCATATAGGTGGTACAAGTGCAAGTAGAAGAAGCAAAAGAATACTAAGAGGAGAAAACATCCAAGAAAGGGAGTGCTCTTCAACAAAGGAGGACCCAACTAATAATGTCACACTTATTCAAGGGCCCTACCACCCTTGCCATTTTCTTGGGCTAGCTACACAAGCTTTCCTCAAGTGTTTGGGATTGGATTCCACTTCTGAGAACCCTTCCAACACAAGACATGGGAAAGACAGATAATGTATGGACAACTCCTTCTCTCTCCCTATATATATATATATATACATGCATTCATATTTATTAGTGTAGACTTGTGTTTAGATGATGGCCTAGCCATGAGAAATCATTAGAGTTCCGTTTGGAGGAAAAGAATCCTCTCCAGTTGAGTCATATTTAACAAGCTTCCAATTTATACATACAACTTTCGTATATAACATAGATAGATATATATATATATATATATATATATATATATATATTGCATTATTTAATGAATTTAACTTTTACTTTATGAGTCCCAAAAACAAAAAACAAAAAACAAAACCCTTCCCCTCAAAAGTCAGCTTTTCATCCAAATGAAATGAAAATTTTCTCTCATCAAAATTAAGTATGAAAGAAGCAAAACCAAACCCAACGTAAAGCAAATCCAGAACGCATTGCATAAGTAATGCTTTGTGATTAACGAGCTCTCTCTTCAAAGAAAAAAAATCAAACCTATTCCGGAAGAAGAAACAGACGATTTACCAAATAGAGGGAAGAACAGATCAGCGAAGATGATTTTTTCTTGCGAACCAGAGGTGAACGATTTCTTTCCTGATACAGAAGAGTACAAGTAAAAAATGTATTTTAATTTAAATAAAAAGGTAATATTAAATTGTATAATAATATACTATTATACGTATAAATTATAGCGTATAGAGTAATCTTTGTTTAATAATATACTCTTTATAATATATTGTGTAAAGTGGAATTCGTATATATGGTAAAACAAAAATAAATTTCTTTCTTAACTTGCTGACTTGGTGATGACAAGGCTATGTTGGAGAAGTGGCGTTAATCACCATTGCTCACTGGACGTCGTTGAGCAAGAGAGTAACTGGAGATTATTTTTTTCGGGTTTGGATTGAATGATTTGGAGGGATTTGGAAAGAAAAGAAAGGATAGTGTGAAGTGTATTTACGTTGTCTTAAATGGAGAGAAAATAAAGGATTGGGTGAGATTTGGAGGGGTAGGATATTGGTTAAGTAATACTTTCATAATTCCGAAACTACCCTCAACAACTAAAAGAATAAACTTGTTATGACACTTGAGTCCTATATTATAAAAGGATATGATAGTAATTTATTTTCTCTTCTCTCCACCACCGGCACAGCCAGGCCAGGTCTGCGACAGACCTATCAGGAGATACTCATGCCTTGAGTTAGCACATGAGTCAGTATTTGATATTGTTTTCTTCTCCCGGTATCCCATTTCCACTGCGCTACCGGTAATGGCTGTAATAAACCAGCTGGTCTCTGGTGCTCGGCCTTCACTTGCTGACAGGTAAGGCACTTAGCCACAAACTGTGCGAACAGGCAAGAAATGAGCTGATTTAGTCAATCTGTCCACGATGACCCAAATGGAATTGTGATCCTTGAAGGAATTAGGCAATGCCTCCATAAAATCCATAGAAATGCTCTCCATTTCCATTCCAGTATCGGCAGTGGCTGTAGAGCTCCTGGCGGCAAGCACTCGAGACGACACCCAGTGACGAGAAATAAAACTCAGAAAAGAAAGTTAAACGAAAAAAATTGATTTATTCCCTTTTTTAAATCAGCTGAAGGCTCAACCACGATCCCATTTATCCCTAGATTTTTTTATTTTCTTTTGAGTTTGCTGCACAAACTTTGCATTAAATATTAGAAGTTGTGTGGCATTTACAGAGGATGATATTTACATAATTGGATTAGTTATGATTGGTTCAAATCTAAACAAGAGAGTTTTTATGTAATTATTCGATGTGGGATTAGTGCTTCAATTATAGGTTTCACATATTTCAATACACAATTTTAAATTTTGGTTCATGAACATTGAAAAGCAAAATTCGTAGATGGTTTTCCTACCTTTTTTGCTGAAAGAATCACAAAGAAATTAAGGGCTTTCAAGCCCATTTTATTGCCAGCAGAGGGGATCCGCGGGCGCCCGCGGTGCGACGAATGTGCCTGCACAATTTGTTGATTTTGAAAACTTGGAGATGTCGTTGTTTGGCTACGGCTAGGACTTGGTTCTAGTACGGGGGATTGTCCCTCCGTAGCGTCATTTGGGACCCAGATAGCATTTCCTTTCTTTTCTTTTCCTTCATTATTCGTCCAAACATGAATAGAGATTATTTTTATTGTTTCTTTTATTTTATGTCCTCTCATAACTAATGATATCCCTTCTTTCCTTTTCACTCCTGTTTATGCAAACAAAGCCTAGACTATTCTGACCATAAGCCACTTCATGGTCCAGTCCAATCAAAAACCGTGTTTAGTTTTTTTTGTACTATCTTAATGAACTCTTGTAGGTCCACTTTTCTTAGTTTGAGAGTTTTGATTAGATTGGATAACATTGTACGAGACTATCTAATAATTTCTCCCGAGACTTTTGAATGACGAGATAATTGATATATATAAGGCTGCGCCGTTATTTTGCAGGAAATTTTTTACCCTCTGGGCTAGTCAATTGAAACAAGGTGAAGGGCAAGTATGATGGAAACCAGGACATTGGAAATTGAAGATATTGAGGGGACAAAATATGCATATAATACAGCCATTTTATGTGACTTTCAACACATGACATATTAGTGTCCATTGTAATTTTACCAATGACACTAATAAACTGTAATTTATGCAATGTATAGAGTAGTTAATTCAATTTCTTTTCCTTTTTTTCTTCTTCTTTTAATTCGAAGTTTTCAGCAGATGTATTGCGTGATGTGTTAGCATTCTTATAGCTGCTCTCCAGGTACATTAGGAACTACCTAACAGGAGAAATGCGAACTGTTGGTTAGGGTTTTTTGGCTTTACAATCAAGCTACTATTGCCCCCCATAGAAAATTTAGGCAATCGAGTATTATCATATTCAATCATAATTTTTTATTTTTTTTACCTTGGCAGAAACACTCGCATTCTCACTTTGCCCTTAACCTTATACTTTGGAACTCTTAACAAAATTCTACAAGGTTGGTTTTATTATTATTATTATTATTATTATTATTGTTATTATTATTATGGATAAATTACACGGAACTCCCTTATGGTTTGCCATAATTACATACACCTCTTCTATAGTTTGGGAAATTATTCGGACCTCTCTTTTGTTACGGTCAACGCAAGTCAATGACGGGTTTTGCTGATGTCATGTACTGAATAAATTGAAATTTTCGTATTATTCTTCGTCCATCTCCTCTCTCTCATACATATAGATGGGTACTACAGTCATTTATCATAACAACTTAAGGGTATTTCAATAAATTAGATAAACATGTTAGTGTGTTTTACTGTTCGTCACTGGGAATAGAGGTCTATGTAGGTTAGTTTAATTTTGGGAAAGGTTCGAGTAATTTTTTAAACCATAGGGGAGGTCCCTGTAATTATGGCAAATCACATGGGAGGTCGGTGTAATTTACCATATTATTATTATTTAATATAAGGTTTTTCATTTTAAGATTGGTTCGAAAATATAAATATAATTTTGATCTATTAATTTAGCACATCATACTTCCAACATCAAGTATTGCTACTAAATAAGGGTGTACATAGTTCGGATTAGACCGGTTCGAAAATATTTTGGAACCAAACCATTCATGATATTGGAACTGAACTGAATCGTAAAACCAATGGAATTAAACCAATTCAAACCGTGGTTCTCTGCTTTTTTATAATTCAATTTAATATATTTATATAATTAAAAATATATTATATATAATATAATTTCTATTATAATATTTTTTGTTATATATTATAATATATAATTGAGTGGTTAAAAGACTAATTTTTTTATTTATATAATACAAAATATATAAATATATATACAATTTATAAACAGTTTAGATCGGTCTTGTAAAACCTCAAATCATAACCGAACCGTTTATAAACGGTTCCATGTTTTTAGAATTGAAAACAAAACAAACCGTGAAAAATCGAACCAAACCTACCAGCTCGCTTGGTCCGATTCGAATTATCAAATATAATTACATCTTTAAAACAAAATTTCCTCAAATTTCAAATCCAAAGCTCATCGATTCAATGCTGCCTAACACACCATCTTGGATTCAGTTCTACGTTGACAAAAGAAGTTGGTGCCACCTTTGAATTAGGGTTTGCTCTTGTGAATGTCAAAAATATTGTCTCAAGTTCATCCGGGCAAGCTTCAAGTGATTCTGGTGTGTTCAGTGCATTACATTAATGAACAAGGGCAGTATGGTCATTCTGCATTCTTATGAAGTCATTTCACATAGCTAATAGCTTGAAGAAGCTACATTGTGGTTACAGACCCTCAACAGGCCAATTGTGTGCTATACTCCGGATTTCAGAGGTGATTTGATTACAGAAGTTTTCAGGGGCAAAAGGGTCTTTTCTTTGTACTGCTCAAAAATCCAATGTGTAAAATACTTTCGTGACATGATACAAGATATATGGACACGTGTTCACCTAAGGAGTATTTTGGCCTTTACCAATGATGAACAATTGTTTGACACGTTATCCTATTTGCTTAGTGATTAAGCTTGAAGTAAAAAACGAGTGAAGGTCAGAGGCAGCATATAGCGACTTGATGTAGACCAATTACAAGGTGCACAATAGTTTTTGAGTAAATGTCATATTCAATTTTATGCCCAATCAAACACAAAATTGATAAAATAATTTTCTAAATTCCTCATCGTGCAAGTTAAAAGAACTTTTCACCATCTACAGTCCACTTTTCACAACTTCCTTGTCTTCCTTGCAGTTTCTAGTTTTAAGTTTAGAGAGAGAGAGAGAGAGAGAGAGAGAGAGAGATGGGGGCTACTTTTCTATCCCATTTACATCTCACATTTACAAAATAATGCCCTAAGCTTCCCCTACAAAATTCTTAGCCCCAAAACAAAATTTCTTCCCACCCACTATGTTTGTCTCCCAAACCCATATACACACTTATAATTATATCCCTAATTGCAGCTTCTAAACAATAAGATATAAATACCCTTTTTCTGCATCATAGTCACATCTAACCTCAAATTTAAGAAATTACAAACCACCTTCTGACCTAGGCCTCAACCATTTGATTGATCACTACTGACCCGAAACACACAAACAACCCATGCAATGAAGAAAATCACCATCTTTAAACTGTTTTCACTCAGTCTTGATCACTTCCACAACTGTTGCATTGCAAAAGAAACATCTTTGGCAATTAAGGAGATGCCGGGATATGCAGCCAAAACAAGATATGTGTAAACATGGTAAAAATTGTGCGTTTGCTTCTGACGAATAACAAATGCAACAGGTGCTATCATCACCATCTGGTTCTCCCTCACATCCTATTCTCTCGGGTTCATGTGACTCGGTTCGCCTGATCAGGAGGGTTGAGAATTTCTCCAATTGCCTGAGCTTTGCAAGATAACCATCCCCTCTGAAAGATCCAACCTGGCAAGTTGATAAACTCAGTTGTAAGAAGAAAAATCATTCGAGCTAAAAGCTTAAGATTACAAGGAATTCGTCATCCAAATAGATACTGCAGAATTCTATAATTTCATATCAACAGCATGCCAAGAACATACACATGCAGAAAGACATTCTCCCGGCGTGTATAAAAGCACTCGAGCATGCACACATCCACATCCATTCGAGTTTTAAAGAATGGTTCATATGCTAGATGGAATGCATAATTAGAGAAACTCAAAGATTTCCAGATAATATAGAGTACAATTATGACAATGTCCAAACACAACATACAGCAAATGATTGCACACTGAATTGAGTAAAAAAAAAAACGGATTTCTAATAACATATTAAAATCAACATATTTCTACGTGTTAGTTGTCCATTTCACATTTACAGTAAACGACCATTTGGTTAAATTACAACACAACAATCCCCAATTTTGACAATAGTTTGAGAGCCTCAAGTTTTTCTGGGGCAGCAACCCAGGCAGGTTTGATTGGACCGCAAACACCCTGCCCAACCCAACTTCAGTCAGGCTTCAGCACAAACCAGCCCAACCTCAGACAAGAATTGCTCAATCAATAGATAAATCAATCTGAGCAAGCTAACTGTTTAGAGATTGTCTAATGATGGAACATATTTTTGTCCAGGATTCCTAAATGAATGAACTTCCAAATAAAAGGAAAAAATAATAATAATAAAAAGAAGAAAAATCCAAGCAAACTAAGTCACACAGTACCTGAGCAAATAGTCTTGTGGTAAGAAAAAATCTAAATCGTCTATTATGTATATTTTAATCAACATTTTGGAATATAGCATCTTACAGATTGATATAGATACGAGTGAGTGATATATACATATGCCACTATAAGCATTGTTAGTCTGAATTGGATTTGGTTGCCCAGACTTTGCAGATCTCAACCCAACCACCTTTACCCTGGCTCAAGAACTTCCAACTCACAAAACCAGTAATTTAAATAATTAACCAGGCTTGCCCAAGCTGATTGTATTTACCAAGCATCATTCAAGAACAATTATATCTTAGGGTATTACGGACTAGGTATCTCTGATCATATTATTGGAAAGAAAATCAATCATTTCATGTGAGCATCTTCTTCTCATGTACGTATAAATGTGTATATAAATGCAGATATTGAAAACAAGCTAACAAGTACTAACCCAATTGTACTCTAACAGATACTGAAATCCACAAAGAACAGTTTCAGGGCAGTCCATGCTTGCAAATACCCCCACCACATCATTCTGCTCACCGCTTTGTTTCCCTGTACTAGCATCCAACAAATTGAGGATGATACCAACAAGAGGTGCTAAAATCATGCCTCTGTTTACTTTTTCAGGAGATTGACCATGTCGTCTGACCGACCTGCAGGAAGATCATACAGCTAAATGAGGGAAAGAGAGAAGGATAACCTTCACATATCATTTCTTTATGATAAAAATTGCAGCAAATGATCCAAGTAAAATGCATCCCAAGCCAATGGATAAACTGAAGCAACAATAAGAATTTTTAGATATCTGAAGAAGACAAACAGCTAGACGGAGAGGAAGACCAAAAATAACGTGGATGAAGTTATTAGAAATGACTTTAAAAAGTTAAAAAATAATAAGTGATATGGCAGGTAATAGAAAGGAATGGAGACATAGAATTCATATTGCCGACCCCATTCATATGGGAATAAGGCAAGGATGACGATGATGAAGAAGATAAACAACTCCACAACACAGCAAACATATTTTACAAACAAGATGTGCAAGATTACAAGTCCAAGCAAGGAAAATCGTATAAGTCATCTGGTTATAATCTTTCTCTACCAGTAACAAGTTCAGCTATCACTTCCTTCACAAAATTAAAATGTAACTTCTTTTTTTCAACCTTTGAGCAACAACAGGATGATACTGGACAACACCAAAAGAATAAAACATCAATGAACGGAGAAATTCATTCGTACAGTAACTTACAGGTCAAAAATCTCAGGATCTGCCACTGAAGTTATATGGTTCAGAATAAAGACAATCAACTCAGTGAGCCTTCGCAGGTTTGTATCTGCTCCCGACAGGAATGCTTGTGGGATCTCACGGGTCCAAAACTCCAACACCCTTGCAAGATTGCATGAGAGGTCAAAGATAACACTGCATTTTCGTTGCTGAAATTCTAAGACCTGCAAAAGATGTTCAAGAACAAATATAAGCAAAATATGAAGGAAGAGCAAAAAAACAGGGGGATTTGGAGAGAGGAAAGATAAAGAAAATGCCTGAAGTATTATAGGCATAGTAATCATCAAGTAGCCAAGGAAAGCATAGATATGGACAAGGGACATGGTTACGAAATGATACAGACACGGCGATATGGCAAATCTCAAAAAAAAAAAAAAAAAAAAAAGAAAAATAGAGACTGATATGTCAAGGATACGTCAAAAAATAATATATATATATATATATCTATAAAATAATTTTTGCTCATTTTATCCCATACTGAATATATAGTAGTTTTTATTTTCTAAAATTTTATAATAATTTTTATTAATTAACCCATAATATATTTTTAAATTGCATTGGAATCACATTCTTTCTAAGAAAAATTAATTACAAAACTACCTTGACGCGTCCTGAACTCATAAGTGTCCCCACCGTGTCCAACTAGAAAAATATATATATATTCAAATTTCAGGACACATCTTGTGGTGTCAGAAACGTGACTGGGTTGTGTCACACGTCCATATGTCTTGAGTGTTCGACACCACCATGGCACCCCTAGGAAAAGAGTGCATTCTTCCTAGCTGTAATACCCATAATTTTCAGAGCATTTAATTTATTTATTTTAATTGCATTTAATTGGATTATTTGGCTAATTGTCTATTTAATTGTTTATTGTTTTATTTATTTGAATTTTTTAATTATTATAGGTGCTTAATTGTTAATTGACTTGTAATGTGATTTATCTGTTAGTATTGGTGGGATTGGTCTATTTGTTTGGTTGTTTTATTTATTTATTTATTTATTTAGTTTTAAAAAGGGAATTGGGCTTTGATGGAGAAGGCTTAGATGGTGTGGATCATAGGCCCATGGTGATGTGTGTGTGTGTGTGTGTGTATTTATTGTTGTGTATATATATATTAGGTATTATTATTATTATTTGTTTTTAATTGTCAGACTTAAACTGGGATTAGGATTATGTGGTATTGTAGTTATATATATATATATATATATATAGAGAAGTTGTTAGGAGGGTTTCGTTGATACGTGAGATTGAGAGAAGAAGAAAAGAGGCAGAGATTGAGATAAGAAGAAAAGAGGCAGAAAAAAAGACATAGAGAGAGAGAGAGAGGGAGAGAGGGAGAGAGAGAGAGAAGAGGAAGAAGGTGACCGGAGAAGGACAACGAATGTGACAAGGGTTGCCGAAGTTGGAGAAGAAGACCGGAGCGATTGTAGAGAACTTGAGGTTTGGTTTTCAATTCAAAAATCACAAGGCAAGTTATATGTTCTACTCTTCTCCTTAGTATCTTTCATCTATACATCATTAGCTTGACTTTAGGGAATTTAAACAGAGGAATTAAACCTGTTTCTATGCTATAATCGGATTAAAATTAACCTGTATATGTGTATATATGTGTATGGTGTTACAGAGTTTAAACTTGCAAATTAATGTATGAAAACTTGGTTTTGATTGCTCTAATCATGTATAATTGCTTCATATTAATTATGGGAATCAATTGGACATAGATGCATGATTTAGGACCCGTAACGATAGATTTTCATACTTGAAACGGACCCACCAAACTGGTTTTACGAACCAGTGCTCGAGCACTATGCTGTTCGTGAACCAGTGCTCGAGTACTGAGGGATAGTGCTCAAGCACAGTATAAGTGTGCTCGAGCACTGGGAACCTGTTCCGCCCCAAAAGTGTTCCGAATGGCCCTAAATTGATTTTTAAAGGTCCCGAACACGTCAGCTTCGGGAATAGTGTTATATGATTTAAATTGCATAAAACTTAATTATGCTTTTATGATCCAAGATTTGATGGAAAGGATCAGATTAACTATTAAGTTATAAATTAATTAACTATTAAGTTATAAATTGATCTTTTGTGGCATTTAAATTTTGTAATTAAATGTATTAACATGATTTATGATTTTAATCATATTTGTTGTTGTAATTGTGATCTACAAGTATGATCCATGGCGGTATCTTATAGTTTACCATTATTAGATATGGTTTGATGTATTTAGCGTATACTTGTGACGGAAATCATTGAGATAGTTAATAAGCTAGTCTCCTTGATACTTTGTGCCATTGTTAGATATGGCTTTGATGATTTGATGAGTAGGTAAGCTGGCTAAAAAGTCAAGACACTCTACATTGTGCATTGCTAGATATGACTTTAGTGATGATGTTATTAAATGTATATATATGTGAGCCACGATACGAGCTTGAGGTCTCGGGATCAGTGGTTAGGGCTGAGGCCTATATCGCCGAAGACGAGTAGCTTGTATAGGTGACTGGTGGGCCCTAGTAGTATAGGGGACTCTTGACCACTTTGTGTGCTATTTTTCAGGTAATACCCTCTGATAGTGCGTATACATGTATCGACTACATAGCTATTGCATGAGTTTGGCTAGAGGTGTATCGCTTATCGGTTCTCTGATTGGGTTGTAGTAAAAATAACTTGTTCGTGGATCTGACCCACACTTTTATTTTTCAGGTCCTCGCCAGTACCAGTCTTAGAGGTCGTTCGTGCAGGTCAGAGACCAGTTATCTTCACTCTTCCGGATTTATCGACGTAGGATTTTATTTCACATCTTTATTATTTAGACTTAGACGTTTATTTATAAATTCAGTTATGGGATTTTCATAGGGGTCCATGATATAAGGATTCCCGAGTTGTACCATGGAGGTTTGTTACCTATCGGTTTTTATTCGGAGTTTTGGAATCAGAAGAGTTAATTATTATTTTAGTTTTCTTTTCAGTGATTATTTATTTTATTATTTCATCCATTTGTATTTTCTCCTTGATTATTATTAATTGTTTGATATCCCCCAATCTTTGGGTGAGGACTTGATCAACTCGCGTTCGGAAATTGGGGGGTATCACACTAGCTGACTCCTAACTCTGCACTTCTGGGTGACTTCACTTGCCAACTTCAACCTTTACCCACATTTTACCATAACGAGGTCCAGGAACTGAAAGAACTAGTGATTGGTAAAGTCACTTTCAATTATGGGTTGAACAAACCCAAATAGGTATTAATAAAACCCAAAATATAGACAGATCAAGTCTAAGAATCGCACGTTATGGAACGTCCATCCAGCCAATTGCAAATACTACACAGTAGACTTTGCATGGAAGGAAGACATATAAATTTAGCCTAACGGACAATTAATTAGCCCATGGTCTTGATGTTATTGCCATCATTAACATTGTGTTCACCATATAATTTGCTACATAGATCTTACTATGCCAACCAACTTCGTTTTTCACTTCTCTTTGGCCCAAATGGTACGCGAATCTACTTCCATCCTCACTTTTATTCAGTCCCTAGACCCGCCCAGATTCCCTTTATCCCTTCAGGTTCTCCACTCCTAGATCTTTATTTACTGTAATTTTATTACAGTGCCCATTCCAACAGGTGCAAGAATATACTTTTGGGACTTACAGTGCAAAATACATGCCACACAAAAATGACGCTTAATCTTCTCAATAACACCCTAGGTTTCCATCTAGGAGGTCAATAAGAAAAGCACAAACATCAAACATGAAGGCATAAAGCTTTCAACACCAACAAAACATTCAATACCAATGCTTAAATTTTCTCAACAACATATGGGTTTTGATCTAGGATTTTTTTTTCCCAAAAGTTAAAGCAAACACGCACACATCCACTATATTTTTGCCCCTACTGGGGCTCGAACACTCAACCTGCCCTTTGGAGAGGAAAGCTTATACCATCTAGGCTAGTTCCTGTTGGATGTGTTGTGTGTAAAAGTAGCAACATAATTCACACTTCAAGAAAATTATACCTTGTATTTTTCTTGCATTTCTCGGACTGAAACTGAGAATTCAGTCATTGCCCAGCTGAGAGTATTAAATAGGCGATTAAGAAAAGCTGAGAATAACTCTTCATCATTGATGCATGCCTCCCGCAGCAATCTCTTTAAAAATAAAAAACCAAGAGTAAACAAACTAAATTACACTCGGTAGTTACTGTATATAAATAACGTAGGAAAAAAATAAAAATAAAAATAGATGAGAGAGTTATAGGAGTAACACACAGGGTTCATTATTACCTGAAAAACCACTGATGACGATGATGACTCTCCATGCTTTGATGAACCAAAGCCAGAACCCTTGCACAACCGCAGAAGTATATTTGTTACAGGAATCCATGATCTGTTATCAAATGCTGACAACAATGCTTTTGGCATCCTTTGGGTGGCTGCATCATTGCTCTCAAAAGCAACCAAAAATTCCTTGTACTGTACCAATACAGAAATAGATTGGAGAAGAAGATCTCTCAGTTCAGCACTTGAAATCCTTGGATCATTGAAGTGGGTAACAACAAAAGTGACCTGATCAACAAAACATTTAATCATAACTTACCTTGAACTCACACTAAGTAGATACAACAATGATAAGATTTGTGGATTAAAGATATTTACTGCCTTGTTTGTTTATGGGCCCAAGTAGTAGCATACTAGCTTCATTTAAATTTAGGAAGCCAACAAACTAAAGTGCAGCATAACAATTTTCTTACTGAAGCACAGAATTCCAATGGTATAACCAACAATACGCAGAAGGATGTCATGTCAGCAAGGATATGTAAGATTCAAGAAAATTTTGTATAGAAAATAAGAGAGAGAAAAGTAAGCTCCTTCCGTGATCCTCATGACAGATTTAAAGGGGAATATGAAGTCAAAATTCAGAAGGATGTCATGTCAGCAAGTATATAAGATAATTATGAGAAGGAACACCTCTCATAATAAGGAAAGAAACGAAAACATGTGGGTAGAGTTAGTAAGGATAAGATACACATGGTTTGACTGATGCTATGGCCTTAGAGTGGAATGGAAGAATAGGACAATGTAGCCGACCTCAAGATGTTGGCAAAAGGCTTCGTTTGTTGTTGTTGTTGTAAGAACTCTCCCTCCTGTCATCTAAACTTTTCACTCTTTCCACCCTAATGACAGAACAATACCTAATGTCTTTGATCCGAGGTTAAAATCCTAGAACTCTCTCAACTAAGATTTCTCAATGTCAACCGGAAACACTCAACTAATAGTTATCATCCATGTCAAGATGCATGATTTAGAACCAAGCTCCATTTGGACTATCCTGCAAACTGTTACCCCAGACAAAAAAGATCTTTGGACAATGATTAGAATTTATAATATTTTTATAAGAGAACCCTCTATTTCCCGCATCACAAGAATTAAGTGGGATGCCTAAATTTAACCCCTTTGAGCATAGGATTTCTCCATTCAAAAAATAGTATGCAAGGTCAAAAATTCTTGATATGGAACCACATACATGCCAATTAGGCAAGTATCGATTTGCAAAAGAATATGATAATATTCCCAACTATTTTCATATCTGAATGCACATTCCAGAAAATAATACATTTTCATCTTGCCAATATAGTGGCTCAATAATCACCTACCGGTTCCAACAACCCGAACATGTATCACTAATAATTTACACTAAGTTCCATGCATTTACCCTTTTTTTTTTTTTTTTTATAACTAAAAAAAATGAAATAAAATTTCTATAACCAGTTCAATTCCAACTGGTTAAAAGAAAATCTTTTACATTTAAAACTACCATGTCAAATTCCAACTGTGTGATCTATACAAGTAATTCACATGTGATGTACACGTTCCCATTCCCCTTCCCCTTTCAGTTCTGTAGACCAATCATAAGATTTGACAGGTATTAATATCGATTCTAACATCGAATTTTACATTAACATCAAATACACAATCAGTTCAATACTAATGAAACAAAAAAATTATAAAAGGCTAAAGGATCATGTCATAGCATCAAAAATTTAACTTGACTAAGCAAAATAGTAAAGCAATAAAGGAAATTAGAATATTTTGGTATCAAAATTCCAAGAAATGAATCTATTAAGAGAGAAACGAGAATCATAACTGTTGAAGGATATTATTAAAGTTACACCCTCTAATAATTTAACCATTTTTTTTTTTTTTTAACTAGTTGGTACTCGCACACACTTGTCTCTTCTAAGACTTGAACCCCCGACCTCTCTTTGAGAGGTAAGAGGTTGATACCGCTAGGCCACTGCCCGTTGGTAATTTAATAAAAATCTCCTCCACACAGATTTGCCAGACATTCTATATTTCTTTTTTCTAGTAGAAAGTATCCAACCAAACAAAAAACTACTTGGAAAGAAGAAAACAACTTACCCCATTGTGCACTTCAAACATGAATTTTCATCAAGAATCATAAAACATGATCATCCCACTTAAGTTTATAACGGATGCACAAGGAACTAATCCAGCAACAAAAAAATTAAAGACTTAAATCCACATAAATCTATCTTTTTCATAGTGACAGTGTCTAGCCAAAAAGAAAAGAAAAAGTAAGGAGAGCATGACAAAAAGAAAAAAGAACCATCACGACATACGAAGGAAGCAAGTCCTTGCTTGATAAATATTGAAGTAGGCACGAACGGAGGATCACTCTTGCGCAACACATGGAAGCAGTCAACCTACAAGTAGCATAGAAGAGTGACTAATGAAAGCTCAGCAAGAAAACCAATGATAGATATTATAATGCCCATATAGCATTCTATATACTATGTAATTATAACAAAATATGCACTTGTGCAGCGAAGAAGCAAAATGTGGAAACTTCCTGGAGGTTGACTCAACAAGACATCGGAACTCATAGCTACATGCAATGCTCATAAACATTGTAAATCAGATGAAAATTATATTTTCCTTCCAAAAATACAAATATTCATATCAAAATCTCTAGGAAGATCATAAGCATACACACATATGCATACAGACACAAACAAGGCTAAGAATATCATGCGAGGAAAAAAAAGTACATTCATAAATAAGTAAAGTATAAAAACCCTAATCTCCCATCAAATTTGGTAATAACCCAATGCATAAAACATATGTAAAAATTATGGTCAACCTCCCTTGAAGTTACGATGAATATACAGATGGCCCTCACGCTGTTAATGATATGTTAAATAACTGTTTTTAGACTGCCGAAATTCCCCTCTTTCAAATAACTAATATTCCGTCTCTACTTTCTTATTTTCTTTTCCAAACACTTCTCTCTCTCTATGAAATTGCAATTTCTATTCCCTCCTACCTCTCTTCATCTATATGTTATCTCTCCTCTTCACTTTATTCTCTCTGCTTTCCTCCGCCATCACCTCTCTGTTATTTGAAGTTCTTCATTTAGACAACACCTAATACTTGTTTTTTAGTGAAGGCAAACAACAAGGCTGTTACTATACAAAACATAGCACACAAACTGCATATTCTAAAAGCAGCATCCTGCTAAAAAAATTGCAGCATCCAAAAACATTTTCAGCAGAGCTTTCCAAAATATTAACGAAAATAACTGTACTGAACCGACCAGAATCTTCAAATTTACTTACATGACTAGAATCTTACTCCTATGTACTAATAGAACAAAGCTATGGGTATATGGATCTCACAAAAGAAAACAAATGAGGGATCAGATTCAATATTTGACCCAGTTTATGTTTCTTCACTGAGCTAAGTAAAATTACAGTGGATTCCCATGCAGATTTGGGCACACAGTGAAATCATTCAACCAAACAAGTGCAAGAATTTTGAGATTTTCAAATTGCAATTCTGGAAGATATGCAGTCTACATCCGGAGTGCCAAAAAATTGTCCTATTTCCTCTGCGGCGCTGCCCCTCCATTTAACTGCGCTCTCTTTTCCACCAACACTGCTGTTCAATCTGCAACAAGCCTAACCATAATCGTAAATCTCTCTTTTACTAAGTTCACAATCATAGGCTTCCAAACATCCTTTGAATTTCCAAACTCCTCAACAATGGCAATTCCATTCAATAACTAAATAATGGGGGGACACAACTAAATAATTATATTGTTCAATATTATTTTTCTCTATTCATGAAAAAAGAAATTTTATATGAAGTGTTAAATATGGACACTTCGCTCATCTTGAAACAATACTATAACCATAGGAAACATGTCCCACATCCATGCCCAGATATCAAGGATACTTCACTCATATAGAAGATCCGTGTAATATAGATTTGGACTTGGTATGAATTCTCAAAGAGTGAATGAGTCATTTGACATCACCAATAAGTTAGTGATAAGATCCCTATATAAATGGAAAAACGCGGCATAGAAAGTATGAGAAAAAGAAAGACATAAAATGAAGGATAAGATATACCCAAGTGACCAAATACACCTAGTTGGATTACTTATCAAAAAAAAAAAAATTACACCTAGGTTAGATTATGCTCCCACTCCGTATTCATTGATTCACATATTGACAATGGATTTTGATAAATTCATAGGCTGACAATCTAACATCCCTTACAACAAGGACATTTTCTATTTCAAATATTCCTGGTTCAACTACAAAGGTACCTTCAATGAATGAGTGTTCATAAATATGGTAGATACCTTGAATCTCAACTTGTTTCACAAAGGTAACTAATACATCACCACATGATTCCAAAAACTAGTGGACTGTTTTAAATGGTTCTTGCAAGAAATGAAACAGGTGTAATGACGTGCAAATGTTAGGTTTCAAGAAAGTAAAAGAAAAGCTCACATATATTTGCGGAACAAAAAGAAGCCAAAATACTACTGCACAAGCTCTCATGGGTAATGAGAAAGCAAGAATCTACCTACCAGAGTTTCTAGATAAAATTCGGGAATATAAATGAAGACTGAATCCACTTTGCTAAGAACCAGAAGCAATTGAACAATCCACATGCAAGTTGCATACATTCCTCTTTGCTTCCACCGAGAAAATAGAGAAATACGATACCTGTAAAGCATACCAGAAACAAAGAGTGTAAGCAGTAGCAACAAATGGAACTAACTTTTATAGAAGATTCCTAATTCACATTTAAAAACACAATCCATTCAGGCCCAGCAATTTTACCCAGACCCGACAGGACTTGATTGAGTCCAGAATCGATCAAATCAACAGAATCTTTCAATTCAGGTTGATTCGCGTCAATTCCAATCGCTTCCTTGTTATAGTCAATTTAGTCAACCTGTTCGTATTGAAAGAGGGGCTAAACAACTCAAATAACATGGTTCGAACCACGAATAGCACGATTCTACATTTAAAGAAACAACCTATTCAAATCAAGGTTGACCCAAATCATTACAATTCAAATAGTGAATTGCATGATTCTAAGACCATTAAGAGTAGGTAACCTCTTCCCTGGATGAGAGAAAATGTAATAAAATGGGAGAAGTAGCACAAAAAGAGGGAGTCCACACACACGTCCAAGTTCTCACGGTGCTTAGGGAAAGAAAGGAGAATCGCTCTGTTGTCTTATATAGAGTCATCAGATCGAGGGTTCGCTCTTGGAATAGCTCTGACTTACACGGCATTTTGAATGGTCGAACCAAGAAAAAGACCCAACAAGTCCGAATTCCCATCTCTCAGACTGGCAAATCAGTTAACCCCTGCTATCCCAGGATCAATGGGTCACACCCTTGGGTGGGTAATTCTATAAGTTTGTCAATAACAAGGAAAATGAACTCCACCACTGTTACCACCAGGACTATGAATGAGAACTCCCAATCATATGGGGACAATTTGATAAATTGTAAATGGGTACATTCCTGCCAGCAGTTAAGACCATATCTTCCCAGTTCTGACAGAGATATGATTTGTTTCCTATTCATGATAGTGAATCTGAGAACATAGCTAACTTCAATTACCAATGTACTTGTATACTATATAAGTACAGATGCAGAAAAAAACCAAATGCTCCTAAGCAAGCAGATCCACATTGGGAGTAATGCAAGGAGGAGGATACTAATACTGACATTGGTATGAATAATAATAAATTATAGGAAGTACGTATTTTGACTGAGGTTGCGGCCACATATAGATGAAATGACAAATCAGGATTCATCTAGCCAATCCAAATAGGTGGGGGGGAGGCTTTTTCGATGTGAATTTATGAAACTAAGCACCTCAAGTACTGTTGTGCTGTAGAATGCATAACAACAGCCATGACACCAAAGGGAAAAAAAATTCTCTTTGCTAGAAAGATGGTTGAAAATGAATTTCACAATTAAATCAAAGGAGTGGTATAGGGGACCTATCACTGATAACATGGAACAAAATTTTGCCAGTCCAAATAGGTGGGGGGGAGGCTTTTACGATGTGAATTTATGAAACTAAGCACCTCAAGTACTGTTGTGCTGTAGACTGCATAACAACAGCCATGACACCAAAAAATTCTCTTTGCTAGAAAGATGGTTGAAAATGAATTTCACAATTAAATCAAAGGAGTGGTATAGGGGACCTATCACTGATAACATGGAACAAAATTTTGTGGAAAACTCAACCCGTAAAAGGCTATTACCCAATTTTGGTCCCACCAATGGGTGTGGATTACAAAACTAACCTTTGGCATTACTTGCGTAGATACTGTATACACAGGATAAAATAATGGATATTGTAAAGTGCATTTTCAGGTAGAAAAAAAATTCAAAAATAGCCAGTGAAAAATACTAATATAGTGCTCGGTAAATGTGACATGCAGTTATGAACCTATGAAGTTTCAGAGCTGCACACGAGTTCCATATATCAAACATACATAGCGAAGAAGCTAAACAGGTAAAAACAACAAAGTTAACAGACACAAGTGTAAAATAAACACATTATCTTACAAGAAAACATTTCCATGAACCAAAATTTTCCAAGTTCCAACAATATAATTCAATTTCCGAAAAAACAATATAACCCTGTGGTTTTGTTATATCTTAACGTATACAGGTATAGATGGTGAATCACTGAACCTTCCAATTATCGCAGATATTAGAATAGTATGCAATTATGGAATGAAAACAACACTTCTAGAACAAAAACTTTTAGACCTTAGACTGCTCATCATACCATGAACCTTAATGTCAGGCAAAGCACAAAAGAGATACAAAGATGCTGCTACTGAAAGTGCGGGTCATCAAATAAAAAAAAGGCAGCACTACAGTCACAAGTCGTGCATAACATAAAACATATATAGACTATTTTTTTTTTTTTTTTTTTTTTTTTTTTTTTGATAAGTAAAACATATATAGACTATTACCAATATTTTGAAATGGACCTTGGTATAGTGCAGGGGGGAAGTGGGCAGTGGGAGGAAAAAGGGTTCAGAGCAGCGAGGCAAGAATGCATTGAATTTTAAAATAAATAAATAAAAAGAAGACAGAGAAAATGGATATGTATATCAAACAATATATACAAGTTCTATACAACTAAACGTATTTATCCTGGCAATAATCTTACCATGCACAATGTCTAATGCAGTCCATAACTTCTTCCCGATATAGAGTACGGGCTTCCTTCAAGCGCTTTAGATTCTCTCCACAAGCTCGTTCTCTTATTTGTTTATCAGTTTCTTCTAGGAGAGAGATTGATTGTGACTGGAGAGACATGTAAGACGATGCCTACAATGTAAATAAAATATTTAAGATAATATTAGACATTTTCAAACATAAATGAATTAATGATATGTAATGCCTTTGCCGGATAGTTTTACTGGTAACAAAAGGGTGTTCTCAAGCACATGCAGTGCAACTTTGTCCCCTATTATGTGTAAAATAATGAGCATTTCTCTGCTAATGTGCTTTTTCATTGTTTACCTTCTTGATGATGCATGGTTCTTTTCTTCTTTTTTTCCTTTTTTTATATGCATCATATCAGCATATTATGTATCCGATAATCGAGGCAATAGTGAGTTGGATCATCAGCATCAAATTCCAAAAAAATATTTAAAAGCCCAAATCATAAGAGGGGCGAAGTTGATACGAAACATTTATCCAATTTCTATGAAGATGTAATTTTCTCACCTGCTTAAAGTTTGGTGCAAGACCCAAATGATATAACAGTAGCATAGGATCTAGAAGTTCCTCTTCTCTAAGTGTTGCTGAAGACAAATTACTCCCCCTTGGTACAATCTTCATATGCTGCACTGGTCTATAACCAAACTCAGAATCAGACTGGCCACTTGTGCTGGGTTTATCTGCTATCTCATCATTCAAACTTCTGGCACTGCACTCTGCAGCAACCTGAGCAGATCTCTCTGTAAGAGAGCTGCAATGCACACGGGAACCTTTGGCGTTATACCTAATTGGATTCTTTGAGATTCTTATGAAATCAGCATCATAACTCAAACAACAGCATGGCTTCTGCCTACTAAAATGTGTTACTCGAGTTTCTTCGTCATCCATACACCCTTCCTCCCACCGAATTACTTCTGTTTCCAGATCATCGTTTGCTGGATTAGATTTTGTCAAATGACTAAATGATCCTCCAAGCCTGGAGATGTCAACTCTATGAGGATCATTCTTAAGAAACAAGCCTAAGGGAAAACTTTGTTGGCCACCTCTGTGAAGAAAACCAACATCAGGATCAGTGTTTGTTCCACAGCCATTTATCCATCCATAAATATCTCCCTTAGGGAAACCTTCTGATAAAAAATGAAGCATAACTGTGAACAAGGAAACAAGAACGGAATTGCTTGAAACTCCAGGAGGCGGCACATTACGATCTGCTCCCCGGTTTTTCAACAGAAGGTTCTGCAAAAACGTCATAAATACTGAACCAGGCAACTGAGGAGGTGCTATAGGTGGTATGAACCGCATGACTAAGCGACATAGTTCCCTATGCTTCTCCTCAATCTGCAAATGAAGTCAATTATATTTGTTATGAAAAACATGACCGGAAAACTTGAATCCAGTAATAATTCATACATATCATCTTGCATTGACATGAAACATCCAAAATTAAAACCAGTACCATTTGTGAAGCCAAATAGAAATCTCATTAATTTATTATGGAATGAAGAAATACACATTTGGATAGTGAATACAATTTTCACCAGTAGTTAAAAGACATAAGAATTCATTATGCAGATTAAAAAAAAAATGTAATAATAGAGATTTCACCATATTACCTGCCACGCACCCGGCCTAAAGTCCCCATGACATCAAATGAACAATTAACACATTACTATTTTATGAATTTCCAAAAATAATAATAATCATAATAATAATAATACAGTTGCCAGTGCATCAGATGATGGCTCCATTACTTTATATATTTATAATTTATTTATCTATTTATCTATTTTTTTAATTTTGTCTGTGCAATCCAAAGTTTCTTTTTGAACTAGTCAAATAATATAAGGAACAAATAATCTCCCATTAAGTCAACAAAGAATATATAACAATTCAAAAGATTGGTTTACCAAAAAATATATATATTAAAGAATTCAAAAGATCCCAGTATCTCAGATCAATGCAGTTCTTGTACACGTGTTTCACTTATTGAAAAATACTTCACATACATGTTTAGGTGAACCTATGCCTTATTTCATATTTTATTAATCAGCAGTAACTGAAAGCTCATATTTTATTAATCAGCGGTAACTGAAAGCTCAATAAAAACTAAGGAGCACAACAAACGGGTGGTAGGGAGGACAAAATGGAAAACAATTGAATTCCGTGCCTAGAAATGAACAAGACACAGCAGTAAGTTAGACCTTGATTAAATGAAAATAAGAAAAAGTTATTCTAATAGCACACAGAAAGCTGTTCACAATAACACTAATTACCCACTGTTTGTAAATGAAGAGAGAGAGAAAGAGAGAGAGAGAGGAACGATTAGGAAAAGCACAAGTGTTCAGCTGGTAGAAGAAAGTTATACATTCATCAAAGACAAAGTGACCTTTATCTGACCATGTGGTTTAAAGTCCCAAAGAGAAAATGCTGAAACTCCGAAAGATTCTGTTCTATTCAATCTACCAAAGATATCAAAAGAATTCAAGCCTTGCAATATAAAATTTTTGAATAAGAATCGAGAGAGTAAGAGCAACTGGAAGTTGGTCAAAACCCTAACTGATTTGTTTTGCTAAACAAAAAACAATCATTGTATTACTATTTCAAATTTTAAAGGACAAACAGCATTACCCAAAGGCACAAACCCTAAGCCCAGCTACTCAGTATCATTGACAGGGACAGACCTAGAATTTCATTTCCACTCTCACACACGCACATTTGGGGGAGATGGGTCCCCAAGCTCTACTAGGGATCATTCATTTTCATTTTCCGCATGAAAAAGTTTAGTAATGCGTGATTTAAAATGTTCAAAGCCAATTTTAGTAACTCACATTGACATTGAAGGATTTTTTAAGTAACTCGTGCTAAATGCTTTATACTATGCATATGTATGCGTATAAAATGTTGGATCAATGAAATAAAAGAATAGAATCATCAAAATGGTAATATGCTTACTTATGGCTCTGTGTAACTTAACGAGATTTTTCAAACTACGACACTATGGTTTTCATGTCCTTACATCAAACATTCAGTACCAAAACTTTTCACGAATATCCTTATGCAACTTCTCATGTTGTTCCACAAAATTATATTACCAGGCTGGTGGTTGTTTTATTGAGCAAAGTATAAGATGCACACCATTTGAACTCATCTTTACTTTTAAATACGTCATCATTTTAAGCTCCCTCCTGCAATTCTGATGTTTCCAACATTTCCTAAAATTTCCTAAGACTCCATTCGGTTTGAAGCATCCTAGATTTCTTGATTTATTATTGAACAAAGAATCAGTGTCAAACAAAAAGTTCAGAACTTACCCAGTTTGACATAAATCTCTAGAAGTTCAATTATAGCAGGCTGCAGGGTGGAAATTTATAGGGACTAGTGGGGGCCATGGAACCCCCCAAAATATCACAAATCTTTTGTAGGCCATTTTATAAACATTTAATTTTTTAAGAAATATACTTTTGCCCCCCAACCCAAAATTCAAAAAAAAAAAATTGTAGGTCAATTTATAAATATTGTATTTTAGAATAAAATTTTAGACCTTTGCAATGTATCAAAATCTGTAATGATGTATTATACATACATATATTTACATAAAAGTTTTGGCCTTTGCAAGGTTGCATGTGGAGGTTAGACTCTGCGAACATCTGACCCTGTGCAGACCCCACAATGGCGGAAACCTCGTGCCCTTGGCTAGCCTTTGAGTTTGCCACACAACAAAATAATTAGATGTCCTTGTCAAAGAGATTATGTCATAACGCACGTGCACAAATTTTTATCAATAAAAACAAAATAATAAAAAATAAAATAAACTAAAACAAGAAGAAGTAGGTGAAAAAAGGTTTAACCACCCAAATCTACGTAAAATCTACTGGAGTACACATGGTGCTAAATGTTTGACAGTTGTATGTATCTTCAACATATCCACAAACCCAATATGCAAAATCTAATACAAGTAGCATTACCAGGTCAAAAGGCGCCCAATAAATCAAACTCGGAAAAAGAAAAAAATTGTCAGATAAGTATGACCATGCCAAGATTTTATCCATCATTATAAGCGTCGATAGGAGTTCTTTTTTTCAACAAATGACTTATTCTTATGTGAGAGATACAATCCAATAGGAAGCATAGTAAACTATATATGACATTATCGAATTTTACAATTTTTTCCTCCTAATCTGACATAAAATGATTTATATAAAGGATTAAAGATTGACATTACACGTGCTTAAGAATGTAAGTTGTAGGTAAGATTGTCTGATATGTATTACATTTTCCTCTTTAAATTATCACTTCCCACAAATACTGTGCAAATGCCAACTTCAACTCCTTTTACTCATAATTTTGGTTGGTTAGTGCTTTAACAAGTTCTTTTCCATCCCTTCACAACCCTTTTCGACGCCTATATAGAAGGTAGCATTGCAGGCACGATTGGATGATAAAAGCCTGAAATCACAGAGAAATTAAACTTCAAAAGAAGGCATACCTTACTGACTGCTTCAGATAAGGCTGTAGTTGTCATCATCATGCTACTTTCATGGGACACGTCCTCACATGAACCAGGCCACCAAACAGAAGGCAACATACATTGAAGATCCTGCTTATTGGGACTCTTCTGTGATAAGAACCCTTCAAACAAGAATTCAAAATCTGACAACCTCCACCAAAGCAACATCAATGTTTCCTGTCTCAATATGTGACATGTCAAAGCAAGAAAGGGATATGATCCTGAATGTGGACACTCTGTAAGAACAAGTGACGCTGTTTTACAACCATATGAAAGAGCATTTATAATGTGCTCAAACATCAGTCTAGAACCCTCAAATTCCAGCAAGAGATCAAGTACTCTATCCAAACTAGTATAGTCATGTGGAGGATGCACCCCAAAAACTTCCATTATGAACGAAAAAAGTGGACCCCACCCTATATACTCTGCACTCCCAGCTTCTGCATTAACTAAAGAGAATAGCTCCTTGCATATCCCACGAGAGACAGGGTTAAAAAGTTCTTGGAATGGCACAAACCTCTTCAGTCTTCTCAATTTTTCAACAGAACTGAACTCTGCCCTCTCCATGCGTTGCATATCCAACAGTCTAGATAAACAATGCAGCAAATGAGTAGCAAGAAGGTTTGTGGAGGGAGGAGCCTGAATGGGAAGGAAGCCTTCTATTGGATATCTAAAAGGGCGGCCCCCAAAATTTAACTCACATCGCTCACCTTGAGAAAGAGAAATTGCAGGATAATACCCCAACCCAGGCACCATCTTGCGAATCCCACTAAATGCCATCCCAAGAGAAACGCCATTCCTATAGAATGAAATCTCATCATGGTCCAAATCTATGCAGCATCCTATTACATCACCAACAACCCAATACTGACCATAAGCCTCAGCTTCCTTATTCCATTTACTAGCCCTTTTTCCATCATATGCATAAGAATCATCAGCGTCCCCTACACCTTTATGATCAGTAAAAGGGCAAGAAAGAGTCGCCCACCCAAGCTGCTGTATACCAGAAGTTTCAAGGGTCACTTCATACATCCATTTTCCTTTCCAAACACAGGCATTGGCCCTTGCACTACTGAACATGGCTTGGCTCTCCACAAGCAACGGTGGCTTGACAATTCGAATGTCACCACAGATGGTAGATTCTTCAATTGCAACAGTGTGGGGTTGACAGCCATCACCAACAGTAGACACCCCGTCCCTATTTCCCACTCCGGTAGATAAATTAGGATGATACTTCAAGAAGTCCTTTATTATAGAACAAACTATACTAGTGTCAATTGGATTTGTCAGCGGATTAATCGTCTTGTAGGGAAGATCAAATATATGTTCAAGAGTTTGCTCCACAGACTGGTCGCCAAAATCATCACAACACGAAACAAAACGGATTTTCTGAGAATTGTCTTTCCTGTTCTCATTATTCAATACCACAGCCAATCCAGAAGAAAGTCCACCAATCCGTAAGACGTCCTCTGCCATCTGTGAGGAAGGCAAGTGCTACCTCCCAAATTACAAAAAACTCTGGAAATCCAATTACAAGTAATTGAGTGGCACAGTTCAATTCCCCAGATAATTTCAAAACCCTAACAATCAACCATCCTCCTGACCCTGAAATATCAAAAAATATTGCAACATATATGACTGCATAAACACAATACACAGAAAAAATTCGCTTTATAGCAACAAATTCAAACTCCTGAAAAACCAAAACAGCAATAAATAGATAAAATGAATACCGACGCCTCAAAACTTTAAACGTTTTGATACAATTATAGTAATTTTTTTGCATTTCCTCGAAGCTAAAACAGTTTCGAATGAAAATTTTCAAAATTTCTCATTCCTTTGTTGTTCCTCAGTTTTCTCGACAGCCAAACAGAGATGAGAGGAACTGTACACAACATATATGCTTGCAAAATTGAAAGAAAATACAATAAATTAGATCCTACTATGTAGCAACGCATAAATTTACAACCGACTCAAATTTCCCATATGATGGGATATAATTTGCCATAATTCACAACGATTCACTAAATTATAAAAGTACTCACAAGTGCAGGAGTTACATACAGAGAGAACGTTGTCTGTCGTTATATTGTTGTTCCTCGAAACACGGAAGGCGGCGGACTGAAATTAGGGTTCGCAGACGCCATGAACGTTATAAAGTTCTAGAGAGAGATAGAGAGAGTTCTAGAGAGAGAAAGACAGAGACAGATGGGTTTGGATTTGAATTCGTTCGCCAGAACTCGGGAAACGAAGAGGAACGAACCGCGAGACAAAGCAGCTCCGTTCGCAACGCTGACTGAACCCTAAAAGAGGAAAACCGACACGTGTTGAGCTCATGAGGGATTTACCGGATGATAACGTGGCATTTTAGCTAAACTACGCCCCGGGCACAAACCGCTCTCCAGAATAGTTGGCCGCCGTTCCTGTACCGGAAACTCGGTCAATGATATTGACATTCTATTTTTTCCTTTCTTTTTCTTTTTTTTTTTTTGAAAAATTAAAAATAATAAAAATTGAAGTTGAAAAAGTTTTTCAATATGTTTTGGTTATGATGAATATTTTCATTTTAATGGTTCATTTATCTATTTTGTCCTTTATTATTTGATAAGTGTAGTTTTTCTTTATTTTTATTAAATAAGATAATAAGTTTAAAAGTTGCCCATATTATTATTATTATTTTTTTTTGGAAAGATTAAATTATAAGAAAATTCAATGGTTATGAAAATTGTCTATTCTTAAAATTTTCTTTTTATAGTTATATAAATGTGGTTGATATTTCCGTTCAATTATTAATCAATAGCTAAAAGGTAAGATATGATATTTTCAGTATTCTAGATAATTTTTTTTTAACATATTCTATCCTCCTCCTTTCTTAAAATAAAATTACAAAATAATTCCTACCCACAATATCTAGAAGCTAGGATTCTTGGTGCCAAAATGCATATTCTCTGGACTTCTCCTTCAAGCAACCCCTCTCTCAAGAAATGGAAGATCTCACCTCCACAAGTCCAGCACAAATAGAACGGTCGACACTTCTCAACAACAAAGGAAGACTATAGTACCAACGCCAAAAACGAAGAGGAAAAATCTTATTAAACAAAAACATTAATTGCATGAAAAAATCAGTCTAGACAATTTAGAATTAAATTATCTAACAAATAATTTTATTGACGATTCAATATTCTTTTTGACATTACAACAACTCTTGTGGATCACTAAAATAAATATGCACGGAGTATAAGATTATGTATATTGAAGTATTTATTTAGTAAGTCTTCTACACCAACAATTTTGAAACTCCTTTGTTACAGCTTGAATTGGACCTCTTCTCAATAATCTGTATCAAAAATCTAATAATCCTCTTCCTTCCCTGTGAAAACAAACATCAGTTTCACAACAATCAAAAACATTTCACAAACTTTTCAGGTCCGGTCCTTCTTTTTCTGTCTCTCCGGGTTTCTCGGTACCACTTTCCCGTGAAAAACGGTTTGGCATTCAAAGGTTCCTCTTAGGGTAGCATTTTTTGTTTGGACCGCAGCTTGAGGTAGGATCTTGACTCTGTGAGGAAGAGAAGACAAAGGTGTTGTCTGAGTAAGAATGATGAAGAGTCCATCTAACAAAGGTTAAAAAGGAGTATAATAATTTCACTTTAAAATAGAATGACAATTATGATATTAAAAATATGGGTTAATTACAACGACACCCCCTGAGATTTAACATAATGACAGCCATATACAACTTGGCTCTTTTTTGAACAAAGACACCCCCTGCAATAATTTTGATCCAAACAAGCCCTAAAAACATTTGAAAAGACGAGATTGCCCTTCAATATTTAATTCATTTTTATTATAAAATATCAGAACTCATGAAAAGTCAAATTTGCCCTTATATATATACATTATTACCCTTATATTATTACTCTAATATTAGTGTAATATATTAAAATATTAGTGTATTATTATATATTAGTGTAATATATTAAAATATTAGCGTAATATATATATATATATATATATATATGGAAGAGCAGCGGGGAAGGGAGCACCAGCCGCCACCACTCTCATTGACGCCGCCCTACTACTCTGCCACACCCAATTCCCCAACCTCTCTCCACTACGCTGCCACACCCAAATCCCCAATCTCTCTCCACCCACCACTACAAAGCCACACAAAACCCAACAAACATGATGAAGTGGAGGAACGGTGGAGATCGATCTCCTTTCAATCCGGCAACGCCGTTGACGGAGGCGGCAATGGTGGGTTTTAGATTACGGGTTCGGGTAGAGACCGTTACCGAGGAGTATATCGGAGTTTTTGTTGGCCAGAGGCCGTTGCCGGGCAAATCAGAATTCGAGCCGGCAATGAGGAATCAGTCGCGATTCCAGCGACGATTTTCTGGTTCACGATTCACGAATCTTGCAACGGCTCGATGGTATCCTCGTCAGTCCACATCAGTTGAAAGAACCTCCGAGACTCATCAAGGCCAACAACTTCTTCTCTTCGACAACGGTGGCGATTGAGACGTCTTCAACGCAGAGCTCGGAACGGCGGCGGCGAGGCACGGCGCAGAGCTCGGCCTTTGCTCCACCGGTCATCGAGTTTAGTGAGGATTGATAGGTTGGGTTTGGGGTCTAGGCATCATCTTCTTAAGTGTATGAGATTGGGGGTTTGAGATTTATATATATCTATAAATCTGTGTTTATGCAACAATTAGGATTTTTTGTGGGTTTTTCATGGGTTCAATTGGCTGGATTTTTTTGTGGGTTTTTCATGTGTTCAATTGATGGGTTTTGGTTGTGGTGGCAGAGGTTGCAGTGGTGGGTGGAGAGAGAGAAAGAAGGGGTGGTAGTATTAGTGGTGGCGACTGGTGGGTGGTGGTTGTGGTGGTGGCTATGGTGGGGTATTTTGGTCAATAAAAAAAATGTGTTAAATAAATTGGTAATTGAATGTGTCAAGGGCAATAATGTCAATTCAGAACCATTAGGGTGTCTTTGTTAACTTTATCAAACCTAAGGAGGTGTTATCATTCAAAAATGGCTCAACTTATATATTTCTGTCATTATGTCAAACCTCAGGGGGTGTCGTTGTAATTAACCCTAAAAATATATATATCACAAAAAAAAAAAAAAAAAGGTAACAATTTCCTTCACTTTTTATATGTTCTAACCTTTGTTTTTATTTATTTATTATAAGTTATGTGATTTTGTATCTGACGTCCGGGCTTACATAAATGCATTTCGTCAATGCCTTTGTAATTCAATGATTGGGTTGCTCCCCAACCATTGCTCCTGAGAGCTTATTTCGAGCCTTAACATCTCTAACTTCTGATATAACTAACATTCGTGCCTTGAAAAATATATATGTTATATTTTTATCAGTTAAATATATAATAATTTTAAGTTCAAGATGCCTTGTGACTCTCTATCTTAAAGGAAAAAACTTGTCTTAAGGTGCATAAACAGGGCTCTCATTCTGATGTTGATATAGACTAATAAACAACATGGCATGTGTCAAAAAAAATTAAAAAATTAAATCTGAATCATTCAGATCTTTTCACAAGTCATCCAAAAAGAAAGAATTTTCTTTCACGCGTATGTGAGACGTAGTAGCGGGCTCTCCCTTTTTTTAACTCACGATTCCTTCTCTCTTCCCACCAAATCCCCATTGATGCCCACCATCTCCCCAATTCTGATACCCTAATATTAATCCTCTCTTTTGCCAACCGACCTTCACTGCTTGTCGATCTCCACTGCTTGCCACCTCCTCTATTCCCAAACCCTAATATTTTACATTCAATCTTTAGAGATGATTCAAGTCACCACATTAGTTGTCAGCTATCTCTGTTGCACCGCCATCTCCAGATGACTCGAGGCCGACTAATTAATAAATACGCACAACTCTAGTGGCATTCAAAAATTTAAGATTTATCACCGCCTGTTGCAATTTGAAGCTAAATTGATTTCTTTAAACTCCATTATAATTAGAGTCTTACAATTATGGTTAATTTACCATGCTTGGGATAATTGTTTAGCTTATTCTATAATGGATTGCAATGTGAAGGGTTTGGAATAGAAAATCTGAAATGCATGAGAGGAAAAAAAAAAAAAATCTTTCCTTTTGGATTATCCATAAAGATCCAAACAATTTTTATTAATTATTTTTAGAAGTTTTTAACACATATTATATATTTATTGATCCATGTCAGCATAAGAAAGACATTCATACTTACCATCTTGAGGCAAACATTATTATGTCTTAAAAATCAACTTTCTTTCTTATTTATTATATCTTAAAAATCAACTTTCTTTCTTATTTTTATTTAAATTATTTATTTTATTTTTCTACTCGTATGATATATCATGTTCAACTTTTTATATACTTTGTGTTTATGTGAATATAATTCTTATAAATATCATTTCCTTTTTTTTCATTTTAGTGTAAAACCCATAAGTTATCCAAAACCACTAGAAAAATATAAAACTGATCTTTAAATATGTCATATATTAATAGTATTAAATTTATAACATGTATAAATTTATAAATTCACTCTTATTAATATAATAAAAAAGTATTAAAATCCACTAAAATAAAAAAATGGAATCCCCAAACTGCCCAACAAATTTGGGATAGTTATTTATGTCTATTTAAAAATCATTCTTCTTATTTTTTGAAATACGAAGCTAGTAATTAGATTATTGTATTCAAGTTATGCTAAAAAAAATTTATTTTTTAATATATACAACCAATCAAATAGATAATTAAATATATATTCAATGATCAATAGAGCTGGTGTAACGATAGAGGAAGAAAAAAAATAGAACTAAGGGGAGTAGGGAAAATTTTTTATTAGATAAAGATTAAAAATAAGACTTAATTTTTAGGTCCACTATTAAATCTCTGCTATTAATTTAGATTTAATAAAGAAATAAATTTTTATGAAGATAATAATATATAAGACAACAAAAATATAATTGGGCGTTGGGTATAATAATATAGAGAAATAAAATTTTAAAAAGGTAATTCAAAATACAAATAAAATAAATTTCCTTAGCTTCAAAATAACACAATTCCTTTAATATAATAATAGTAATAACTAATGAGTACCATTAAAAACCATATAATTGACATATAACTGTACGCGTGTCAATTACGTAATGTTGTAATGAGGTGAATTGATGACGTGGCTATAAAAGCACCAACAGTTTGGTACCTTCCATCAAAATTGTCAATAAAGTGCACTTCACATGCAAACGCTAAAGTGCACTGCGATGCGCACTCACGCCCTAAGATTCCC